ACAGTTTACGTCAATATAGTCATGAAAAAATTCATGCAAACGACCTGAATGCCGTTTCGCTGTTACATCTAGCATGCAGTACAACAAGTGCGAAGGTTGGTTCCACGAAGCGTGCACAGATCTCACAGCAACTGCTTACAACAGACTCAGCAACTCGGATCATAAGTGGTAATGTGTTACGTGCAGCACGGATCCTGTAGTCTTGCTAAGTAACATCATAGTCCTATTGACAGGTCTGAGGAATAAGTTGTCAGCAAACTTGGAAGAAGACAGTCATAAAACGGGTAGGCAAACAAGGGAGCGCAAAGTAAACAATAATAGGGATGTCGACAGGTCTACCAGCGATGGAGCATGCATTAGCACTAATGATGACATGTTGAAACTCAGCACCATCATTACGTCGACGGTAATAGACTCCCTCAGTAAACTCGGGTCTCTCAGCTCAGGATCCTTGAATGCAACAGTGGTTTCCAAAAGCTCTGTAGGTGATTGGACCCACGTTAACAGAGCTAAAAAGAACCAGGCGTCACCGTCTAAGTTGAACATTCCAAGCGTTGTACGGAAATCACCTGGTGATTTAGTCGCATAGTCTACCCCCAAGAATGTACGTCCGGTCATCAAAGAGCCTAGGATTCAGAAACGTGATTCGACCTCCAAACAACAAGGTGCTGAACCTGAACGCACCGGAAAACCTGGGAAAACAGTTGCGGTTCATGATGAATCTCTTAAAATCATGAACCTCAAAGGCAACCCTGACCTTGCATTCAATTTGCAGGACAAAAATGACAGGATGCTCCGGGGTGAATTGAACAAGAAACTTAAACTTCCTGGAATAGAGCTTTTGACGGTCACACGGCTCACTCAAGAAAGGAATCTTAGCATCAAAATCAGCCGCGGCTACTTCGTGTAACACTTAAGTATGCTACCGACGTAGAGGATGTCCTGCTAGCTAGTATTTACTGAAATCAGATGGGAACGTATGAATACTGCCCAAGATACCGTATTTTGAGCGCAATCTCATCCGGAACATTACTAAAGAATCTCACGAAAAGTTTTGCCACGGAAGAAACATCATTGTGCAAGGTGTACCGGAGAACACGGATCTTAGTCAAGCAAACTCTGATATTAGGGAACGAATATTTATCAAACAGACCTTGAGGCTCAAAAACATACTGACTCAACATATGACGAGACTAACAAGAAAGACAGTGATTCTAAATCCCGGCTTATGAGGATAACTATCCCATCCACCATATGGCGGCTGCAACTCTGGAAGCATTTCGTGCCAACAGACGTCGGTTGCCAACTGGAATCCACATGCAACTGGACATGCTATATGAAGCCAGGACAAAGGCAAGTAGGAGCTGATCATTCCACTTGTGGAATGTCTTGATGATAAAAAAAACGTGTAAAGGACAGGGCCTACCAACTCGGCAAACCTTATATAGGTAGACTACCTGTCCATTTACGTAAGGCTAATATAGACAAGCAGGAAGAAGCTCACGCGTTTCAAATTGAAAGCATAAACTGCTTATACATGAACGCCGCGAGTCTACCAAACAATATAGATGGGCTACGTAAACTTAGCAATGCTACTAATGCTCATCTGATAGTATTATCTGAATCTTGGATATCTTCTCAGTTCTCGGACCAGGAGCTAGCAATACCTGGGATGTCTTTGTTTCGCAACGACAGGAAAACAAGAATTGGGGGTGGAGTAGCCGTATACATACGATGTGCTTGGAGGTACACCAAGTTCATAACCTCAAGCTTAACAATCTTGAGGAATCCATATGGTGCTCTGTAAGATTGTCTACTACTTCGAGGTGCCTAGTCGGGGTTATCTATAGGAAGCCCACGGCCGACATCGAATATGACTGGAGGGACTGTCCCGCTCTGCGCATCTCGGTTTCACTCATATCCTGATTCTAAGGGACTTCAATCTCCCTAGAGTAAATTTGGCGGAACATACGTATATTGGAGGTGAAAACTCAACTGAAGCTAGGTTCTTCAACCTCATTTAGGATTCGGGACTATACGAAAATGTGAAGTCGCAACTCGTTGGAGAAACAGTCAGACACCGTCGCGCTTAGACTGTGTATTTACAAATGAAGACTTCCCAATTGAAAACCTCTCAATCCTGGCTCCTTTGAGAAAAAGCGATCACGCCGTTATAGCTTCCAGTTTTGTCAGCAAAAGTGAGCTGAGTTATCTCAACATCATCCGCTGGAATTCCAAACGGTTGAATGTGTCAGCTCTACAAGACTATCTACAACAGGTGGATTGGGATGTTCACCCTCAACTCGATGTGGATACTCATTGTGACTTCTAACTGCATACGCTCTCATGTGCTACAAAGCAGTCAGTTCCTCAAACGTTCCCCAAAAGCTACAAGCAACCTACAGTCATCAAGAACTGCACTCTTCGCCTGCTAAGCCGAAAAACGAGCTGTTGGGCAGAATACAGACGAACTGACAACGACGGAGCGTACAGGTAATATAAGCATATCAGGAACATATGCACAAAGGCTATAAGAAGAGAAAGGCTTCAGTACCAGACAAAGCTTATAGATAAATTTGTCTCTAATCCGAAAAGCTTATTCCGTTATGCAGTCTCTCTTCGTCAAGCCAAAACGGGAGTTTCCCACCTTCTAGGTCCTAACGGCCCGACCAATAACGACGGCGACGCCGCTAACCTTTAGGCTGAACAATACCCTCGGACATTTCAACCAACCCACATCAACTATACTGTGAACAGCTTCATTTGCAACTGCACAGGACGTTCCGTAGTGAACCTGAGCGCTGACTTGGTGTTCCGGAAACCGCAGCGTCTAAAAACAGACGTTTCTCCAGGCCCATATATGGTCCATTCTGCTATACTGAGGGAAGCAGCCTCAATCCTGGCAACGCCGCTTAGCGTGATGTTCTCACACTCGCTAAGTCGAGGAAAACTACCGGAAAATTGGAAGCTGGCTCACATCACACCAATTTTCAAAGGAGGTCGATGCAAAGGACCTTCAAGTTACCGACCGGTGGCTCTTCTCTCTATACCTTCAAAAATCATGGAGTCCCTGATATGCGATTGTATACAGGCCCACTTACTGACCTTAAATTTCTTCTCACCCCAACAGCATGGTTTCGGGAAGGATTACTCTTGTATAACCAACCTGCTGACTGCGGTGGACAGATGCACAAGCGTTCTCGATCGCAAGGGGAAGGTTGATATCATTTACCTTGATTTCTCAAAAGCTTTTGATAGGGTTAACCACATATGTCTTGTCAATAAGCTCGAACGATTGGGTGTCAGACCACCTCTGATTGATTGGCTCACTTCATATCTGAAAAATCGACATTTTAAGGTCAGGGTTAACCTCACTTTATCTCAGGCTATGAAATGTCCTAGTGGAGTCCCACAGGGCTCAGTACTAGGACCTCTTCTCTTCTTGAATTATATAAATGATCTCCCTCAACAGGTAACGCCAGACTGATTACTTTTTGCCGATGACGTGAAACTTTGGAGAGAGAGATACGCAACCAAGACGATATACAAGCACTTCAGGGGAGTCTGACTCGACTTCAAAGTCGGGTAGACAATAACGGAATCACCTTTAAGATTTCAAAGTGTAAAGTAGTCCATCTGCGACATGTTGCAGACTATAGTTACAACTTGAGAAACTCCTCTCTACTAGTATCCCGAGTCGAAAAAGATTTAAGAGTCCTGATGCCCTACGATTTAAAGTCTTACGCTAACTGTGACAAAAATACCTTTCGAGCAAAACTTGCACTGGTAACATCGAAACGCATTTTTGGCCAGTTTGACGGTAGAACTTTCCATATAATCTTTAACAATTTTGTCCGTACCCATTCGGGGTACGGAAACATAGTATTTCCTCCCTCACTCCAGAAGGATAAGGACAATCTGGAGTGTATCCAACGGCGAGCCATGAAGTCAGTTCGGGGACTCAAATTCAAACTTTATGGAGAGCGTCTCCAATCACTTAGCCCTTACCCATTAAAGTATAGGCGTCTTAGATGTGACCTTCCAATGGCTTACAGTATCCCTAACACTTCTGGACATCCCCTTAAACAACTACTTAAGCTTAGCCCCAATACCAACCTAAGGGGTAACACCCAGAAATTGAAGACACAACATAACAGAACGGACGGTAGGCACAACTTCTACTCCTTTACAGTTGTCGAATGCTGGAATTCGCTGCCGGCCGAGCTAGTCCAAGAGACTTCCCAGGAGTCCTTTAAGAGGCAACTTGATATATTCTTAAGGTCTAAGGATAGTATCATACTATGATTTACCAATTTCGTTTTCCTCTTTTATCGTTAACATACCTAGGTTCCTGCCTGGAGGTATTCGTGACCCCCTGCTACGAGACGTGGAAGCCTGTTGAGCAAAAATCTTCTTCTATTCCGTCCACAACCATTTGAAGGTTGTCGCAAGTTCAAATTGTCACACTCGTGTTGACGGCACACTCTGCCTGCTAAGTCACGGGTTTTCGCTCACATGTAACATATTGTGGTGGATTTTTTGTGTCGTTATTTATCAGCTATTAACAGCCTTTTTTCCGTCACACGTGAATTTTCGTAAAGCTTGTGCTTGTTATATAGTTTTTATTCCAATTTATTAACAGTTTGACGTATTTCTGGCTCACTACCTAAGTAAATCTGTAGTTAGCGTAATATGGTTATTTTTAACAATACAAAGTCAAACAAGTAAAACTTACAATTTTTCTAGTCAAAAATAGATCACAGATTGAGTTTTCATGAAAATAAGTCGTAAAACTCATTATATATTGTTCACCTCCTTGATTATGGTGACGGTGAACATAGATGTCATGCAATCCAACCAACCCACGGTAATTGAAATACGGAATAACCGCCTCTAGTCAAGCCGTTCAAGGTCGTTGAAACGAAAGATCGGGCACATTCGAAAGGATCTAACGTTTAAACCGTGGCGTGTTGACTGTTAGTTGTTTGGGTTTTAGTCTGATGTCCTATAAGCGTGTGCTGTTGTACGGCGGTCGTGGGTGTTTGGGATCTGTTTGCGTCAAACATTTTAAAAATAAAGGTTACGTAAGTCACTTGGTTTTGTAACCATTAGTGGGTTTGCTCTGTCGATTTCCAAGAGAATTCTGATGCTGATGAAAATATTGTTATTGAAGTTTCGGAGAGTAGTTCTACCCAAGAAAGAGTGGTGAAGAATGGTTTAGATACGTTTCTAAGCGGTCGAAAAGTTGATGGAATATTCTGTGTTGCAGGTGGATGGGTCGGTGGGAGTGCTGCTAGCCATGGTATATGAAAAATACTATAACTTATTCACATAATTCCTAGACTTTTTGGAGAACTGTGATGCAATGTGGAAAAAGTGTGTTTGGTCCTCGTCTATTGCTGCCGCGTTGGCGTCAAAGTATCTTTTAGCCAGTGGCCTACTAGTCCTTACCGGCGCACATGCTGCTTTACAAGCCACTCCAAGTAGTTACGCCTATGTTTTGCTGTTAATTTATCCCCAACCCCTTTAAAAACATTTGTGTGTAGAACAACAGTTCCAGACTTACTGTTACACATCAGTTCTAATGCAAATGATGTGTTAAATCCGAGATTTTGTCGCTAAAACTTATTAGTCAGTCTAAAATGATCTAAACATTGTGACAATAATCGGGATTGAAGTGTGTTACAGCTTTTGGATCAAATGTTGGTTCTATATTGTATAAAGTGTGATAAGGGAAAATTTGTAGAAAGCAGACTTAATTTCTTTTAGAATGCAAATGCTTTAGTTTCCATTGCTTTCTTCACAGAACTCGTTAGTGTTCAGGACGTGCTATTTGCCAACGGTCGTTTTATTTCGTATCAGATATGTACTGAAAATGGTGGGAGTTTTCTTTCGTTATTCTGTGATGTAATGTAAAATGTCCTTATAAGTCGTCCAACTTTGTGTTGTGACAGTGCCGAACAGACGAGAGTAGATGTTAGTGACTTTTTGCCATTTTCTTGTATCCCATCAACAGTTTCATACGGTTTCAAATCTTAATAGGGTCTCTATCTGAACTGTACTGACACTTTCATTATTCTCAGAAAGGGGTTTTTGTGAATATTATGGTAATTTACTAGCTGAGTTCATGAGTCAGTTGAATGATTTTCCACTGTGATTTTGTTTCGTATTGTGTACCAAACTTCTCATTTGTATCAAACTTTATTGTATACACTCTAAAGATACTTGTTTATACAGTGCGTTTCTCTCATTGACTTTTCAAAAGTGTTCTCAGGTGTTTGATATTGTGCTCATGAGTCTCTGCAATTCGCTCTAGACGTTTAAGCAAATAATTCGTAAAAGTAAACCTAGACCACATTTTTGATCACAAAGATTTGCGGTGTGGGAATGCAAGTGTCAAATGAACCCAGATTTAGAACCAATGCTATAGAAACTATCTGCCATCCCCTCATAGTTTCCATCAAGACAAACTACCCAAGATCACCTTTAACGTTATTCATAATCAAATACTTGTTATAAGCTTCCTCGTAAACTAATTGATTGTGTCCCTTTTCTTTGTACTATCAGGACAGTCCTTTGGTATTATCACGATGGTTTAGTAGTCATACTTCACCACTGGTAAAAAAAATCGAGTAGTATAGATATATTAGGTCTAATTCTTCAGTAAAGCGGTAGTTGTAATATAATCCATTTCTAATTCACAGTTACGTCCATCAATTGTATGCCGGGTTTCAACATTTGTCCTTAGTTTTATATGTAGTCTTTTTTGGTGTGTTGTAGCTATGTTGGGTTATGGCATGGCTAAGGCTGCAGTACATCAGCTTACAAAAAGTTTGGCAGGTCAAAACAGTGGGCTTCCGAATGGTTCTTGTGTGCTTGCTATCTCGCCGTAAGTTATTTTCAGTTGCTCATATTAGATAATACTGGATATAGTTTTCTTAGTGAGGTAAAGATTCTTATTTTTCTGAAGTGATTATTCTGAACTCTAAATAGTGGTTATGGTTAAGTGAACATTTATGCCTATTAATCAATCTGGATGATGTAGGCTGAAATCACTGAGGTTAAAGGTTACAGACTAACCATAAAGTATTGTGTGGTCAGAAGTGGTTCAGAAATTATCATTTTGTTCATGTGTTCTTATTGTCAGGAAAGAAATTATGTAAACCTACTTTTCCCCATTCAAGTCTGATATCGAATAGTGCCTCATTGATGTAGGGTTGGTAGTAGATATAAATCACACTTCCAATTTTTTGATTTTGGTAGCTGCTTCCAAATCATCGGCGTATCTCACATAGGCTAATATGTTCTAATTCGAGTTTATTGACTCAGTCTTTTTGAGTCTTCATGTACATGCATATCAGATGATTTTTTCCCGTACTCAATAATTCTATATATGTACAGCAATGTCTACCACTTCGTGAATTGTTATCATTTTATTAACAGAAATGCGGTTTGATAGGAACGATGATTTGAGATCACCTTTGATTACTAACAGTTCTTTACAATTTCCATAAGTTGTTCATATAACCAGGTACCAGATTAGTGTTATCTACGCCTCTGTAGCAAATATATTCAGAGGACGGTTACATCGTTTGTAGGTCTACCAACGATTTTTTACAAATACCTACCTGTTAGGTGTTTAGTTTCTCTGTCTATGGCTCAGTTTCGCATTATAACTCTACTCCTTGTGGCTATGTGAAAGCTGAACAACATAGTGATCAATGTCGGCCTGTAAATCCCTATGTTCATACCACAGCGTATTAGCTTAGTTTGCAATTACCATGTATTTTATGATCAACGCTTGGGCTAGTGCTGATTCTCATGATTAAATGTAGGTTATAAATTACCGTATTGATAATCTGTCAGTTTTACGATTTACATTTCGAATTATTATAAAGTAATCTGTGTGTTTTGCTTTGTTTAAGTGAATGATCTAACTTTGTCTGTTATTTTAGAGCAACTTTAGACACTCCAATGAACAGAAAGTGGATGCCTAATGCCAACCATTCGTCTTGGACTCCTACAGAAAAAGTCGCAGAGTAAGTTTAAATTAAGTAGTTGCAAATATGTATCGGACTAAAAATTTCAATCATTCGCTTGTCCTATGATTCCAACTGGCTTTTGATAAAATCATTAAAACTATGTGAATAGCCTATAAGTAGTAATTATTAAACGGCAGAGCCATATACGTACAACACAAAGCCAAGAAATCTCACCAAACCTTAAAACTTAAACCTGATAGTGGATGTTCGATCTATATCAATTATATTTGGAACTTACTAAAAGGATTTTTAATATGACCAAACTGTCTCGTCCTACAGTCTCTGAAAACTACTATTCAGCAAGTTAATGAAATGTAACAAATTTCGGGAGAACTCAGCAAAATTTCTTTGTATGTTTTGTAATCTATGGTTGTACTTCAAACACCAGGACTCCTCATATTTGGTAGTATTTTGAAAACAACACCAAAACTAAAGATATCTTCCCAGTTTACGTGAATCAAAATAATTAAATACTTTTTGCTAAGGAAAATAAAGGATAAATTTCCATTAGTTTGGCTATTTTACCGACTTTATTTTTTCGAATCATTAAAAGCAATGGATAATTTAGACTGTTGGTTACCCCTATTCTTAAAGTTTACCAAATCATGATATCATTTATACACTATCGGAATCTCTTTCAATTCGTCCGAACCACTGATAGCAAGAAGTCTAGTGTGAGTCGAAAAATCTGTGAAGCTGATGGGCTCCAATCAGTATAACCCACTGATGTCCTTAACGATAAACAGAGTTCTTCAACCAAATGTACTTGAACACAAAATTACAGAATCTCAGTAAAACCTGAGAACCATACAGTAAATTCTTCATTTGCAAAATATCAATCAATTGTCTCAAACTTGACTGTTCCTTTTCCACACCAATCACTCTCTGTTTTCGTTCTCTCTGACCTTCTTAACCTTCTGTTGCCAGGTATTTCTTTCGATTAATAATACATACGATTTATATCTGTCGACATCAGAAGCACACACCACAGTGTGACTAATGAGGTTAATCTGTGTGTAGTAAAGGTTAGAACTGCTTATGCCAACCTGAGCCATCTGTTTCGCTACCGTGGTGTTTGTCTGGCTGTGAAAGATCGAGGCTACAACACGCGGGTTAAGGCAGTTTGTTCCATGCTTCTGAAACTCAGCCTCTCCGAGCTGAAGATGTTAGACGACTCTTCGTTCGATCACCGCTGTTTCTGAAGGATTGCTGACAATCAGTGACAACGATGTGTTAGTAATAATGAGGTCCGGCAATGTATGTTTAGGTATAGTTATTGTTTCCATGTTGAAGTACCGGCTTCTGTAGCTTGAACAGGTGTTATGAGTGTTATCGCAGTGGCTTCCATACTGTGTTTTAATTGCCAACTGAGTGACTGTTTAGAAGACAGCGGATAGGTGGTTAGTTAGTGATATCGTACAGGGATATGAAGGTTAGTTGTATAGGACTGTTATCGTCACGACTCCCTGATTTGGGTCCTTGAGATGGTGCAACCTAGTGGTTTGAGACATCAGAAACAGCTAAGAGTGGAAACCAGTGACGGTTCTGTTGCAATTTTGTTTTGCTTCATAAAAATAGGGGGAATTTCTCTAATCACAGAATTCCTAGTCGTATTTTTCTTGAATGGACTGCTTCTCCTGGTATTTACGACTCTCAGTCAATTACTCATTGATTTTTTAATTATATACACTTTCCTCTATCTCTCCACAATCTCATTTTCTTGTGTGGCTAATATTTATTTTGGCGGCCATTTCGACCTCTATTTATGTATTTAAATAAATAAAATATTCTTATCTGTAACTAAATAATTGCTTCAACACGCTTTTTTAATTAGGTCCAACTAAAATCGTAAATGAAGGCAAAATCTGTAGGACCTCACAGAACATACTAAGACATTTTTACAGACGTGTAATATATTAATTATTTCATTGATGTTTGTATCCATGGCTATATAGATCATGATTCTACAATAAGGATCGCGATGTGCGCAATAATTTCTTCATCTAGTTTTTGGAAAACGAAATGTTTACTTTGTTTAATATTAACATCTAACTGTCGAACACTATCCCAAATTTCCATCTGTATGTCCCTGATGTTACTCAAGGATAAGTTATTAAACTCGTTAGTTTACTACCTTAATAAGATACTTGGTTGTTGGAGATTGCCGGCAGGAAACATTAAACCTAAACCTCCTGCTAATTGGGACTCGTTATGACATCTCACCTGGAATCTCAAGGAAACTCGTGGATTCAAAGTTTTGTTACTTATTTTTACATGGATGACCTAAAATTCGAGTGATATTCCATTACAGATACAATAAATCTATCAATATAATTCTGAGGTTTTTATGTTTCTTGGTTTATTTAAACATTCTATTACGTCCAGTTTCATTTACATTTCGGTCACCTTTACATAGTATCCTGAAAGGACTGACAAGACTACTGCACTTTATTTGAATTCGCTTGTGTAAGTATTTTCTGGGGGATTTGTTTGAGCTAATTGACTATTTATGAGATGTTAATGTCAAGGAAAAAGTGTATTCTTTCGTTCTGGATTCTTTGTTTACAGATTTATCTCTGAGAAAGACCATTGATATCCTACTTGACTACATATCTTTGACTAATATTTCAAGAATTATTTTTATCATGTCCCGACAAAGTTTAGTTGACATTTGTTGGTAAGTACTTTGGACATATTGAATGTATTGGTATTGGTAGTCCCATAAAGTCGTTACTATCTGACGTGTTTATGTTACATGTTTAGATTTTTTTCAAATACTCAATCAAAAATATGTATTCATATACGGTATATGGATAACTCTGTTAAAATGCGATAACCGGAAAAAGTCATTTAAACTGTTTTAACTCTGTCCTGAAAGTTCAAGGATCTTCATTTGCAACAATTATGACGCCTCATGATGAAAGCTGAAATTCTTCGGAAATCACGATGTCGATGCTCCTTCTGAAAACCAGAGCGACAATCGATATAGGCGCATGGGATGTCCGGGCAATGTGGGAGACTGGGAGGATTGATCAAATAGCTATGGAAAATGGTAAGATACAACTTGGCGGTTCTCGGAATAAGTACAACCCATTGGATGTGAGTTGGACAGAAATGGTTAGGTTCGCGAGGTGTTGTTGTACTCCGGTCATGAGGGAAAAAATGCTACGTACACACAAGTTGCACTGATGCTGTCCAGAGAGGCAAAAAACCACCTATAAGACGGAAGTCTCATGAGTTCAGAATCATCAAAGTAACCTGCAAAACAGAATGAAGGGATCACAATGAATGTTATCCAGTTCTATGCACCCACTAGTGATAACAATAAAGACAATAACGACCAGTTTCATGAGAGGCTGCAGTCGATCGTGAAGAAGCACCCAGTAAACGACGTGACCATCCTAATTAGAGACATAAACGCCAAAGTCGGAATAGACAACACCGGATATGAAGATATTATAGGACGACATGGACTGGGAGAAAGGAATGAGAATGGCGAGAGGTTTACAAATTTATGTGCCTTCAACAAAATAGTTATATGTGGCACTATATTCTCCCATAAATACATACACAAAGTTACATGGGTCTCACTAGACCACACTACGGAAAACCAGATCGATCATATCTGCATTATTAAAAGGGTCAGAAGGCAATGGAAGACATGAGAACCAGAAGAGGTGCTGACATAGCTTCAGATCACCACCAACTGGTGATTGCCAGGATGAAAATAAAGCTAAAGAAACACTGGACAACTGGGTAATCAGCATTACAAAGGTTCAATACAGACTTCCTTCGATATACTGAGAAACTCAACGAATTCAAGATAACTCTCAACAACAGGTTTTAAGTTTTGTAAGATGTACTAAAAAAACTATGGAGGACAATTGGAAAGGGATGAAAGGAGCACTAATGTCAACGTGCTAGGAGGTTCTGGACCGCAAAAAGTGTCATCTTAGGAAAGGGATCTCCATGGAAACCCTGGACAAAATTCAGGAAATGAAGAACACGAAGACAGCAGTTAACAACAACCGAACACGAGCAGAGAAAGTCAAGGCACAAATTAAATACACAGAAAGAAACAAGCAAGTGAAGTAGAGCTGACAAGCAGAAATGCGTGGAAGACCTAGCAACGACAGTGAAAAAAGCTGCAACAGAAGGAAATACGAAACAACTATACGATACGACGAAGAAACGGGTAAGGTAATGTAGTAAACCAGAAAGATCGGTCAATGACAAAGAAGGAAAGCCAGTCACTGAAATTCAAGAACAAAATAACAGGTGGGTGGAACAATTGGAAGAACTTGAATAGACCATGTCCATTGAATCCACCGGACATCGAAGCAGCACACACAGACCTTCCCACAGATGTCACTCCACCAACGATCGAATAAGTCAGCATAACCATCAGACAAACTAAGAGTGGGAAATCAGAAGGACTACACAACATACCAGCTAAAGCACTGAAGTAACTGCAGAGATGCATCTATTCGGTACGATTTGGGAAGAAGAATGAGTGCCGCCGACAGACTGGAAAGAATGCCTGGTCAAGGTACCAAAGAAAGATCTGAGCAAATGTGAGAACTATAGAGGGATCACACCACTGTCGGTACCAGGAATTGTTTTTCATGAGAATGTGGCTGGACCGAATGAACTTCGCAGATGACCTAGCTCTTCTATACCATACACACCAATAAATGAAGCTGAAGACAACCAGTTTAGCAGAAGCCTCTGCAGCAGTAGGCCTCAACATACACAAGGAGAAAACCAAGATTCCAGAATACAACGCAGAGAACAATAATCAAATCATACTTGGTGGAAAAGTACTGGAAGTGCTCGAAACTCACGTACCTGGGAAGCATCATCGACGACCATGGAGGATCTAATTCAGATGTAAAGGCGAGGATCAACAATGCAAGGACAACATTCCTACAACTGAAGAGCATCTGGAACTCAAAACAACTGTCAACCAATATCCAAGTCAGAATCTTCAATGCAAACGTCAGTGCAGTCCTATTGTACGGAGCTGAAACATGGAGAACTACTACAACCATCGTCAAAAGGGAGAAGTATTTATAAACAGTTTTCCAGGTACGATACTCAATGTTCGTCGATCGGATATCATCGTCAATAACTTGATGTGGCAGAGAACAAATCAACTTCCAGATGAAGAGGAAATTAGGAAAAGAAGTTGGAAGTGGATAAGACACACATTGCGGAAATCATCAAACTGCATCACGAGGCAAGCGTTAAATTGGAATCCTGAAGGGAAACGGGAAAGAGGTAGGACAAAAAACACATTGCTTTGAGAATCAGGAGACATCAAGAGGATGACTAGAAACTGGAAATAAATGGAAAGGGTTGCTGAGGACAGAGCTCGATGAAGAATGCTGGTACGCGGCCTATGTTCATTCACGAAGGAAACAGTAAGTTATATATTTATATCTAACTAGAAATATAGGATTGACTGAAGATGAAACGTTAGATAATTAAGTCCTAATTTGGTCTAAATTTATCGTTCTGCCGTCGAAATCTGAAAATTTTTTCATATTTCCGACAGGTTCATGAGTGTACATTTCTGTGATGCCTAAAATTAGTGGGAAGTAGTCGCCCAATGTTTCGTGGTTTTCGCGGCTTTTAGATGATATCAGTCTATGATAAACACTAACTTCAAAACAAATCCTCTGATCGCAAGTAGCCACTTTTATGCTTTTTTGCTGATGTTTTGAATTACTAGTGTCATTTTAAAATTATGCTTTGAACATGTGATTTCATTTGATAAACTGAAATTTTTTCTTACTCTTTTGTTCTTATAGATTATTTGCTACATGGTTGGAAGAAGCTAACAGTCGTCCTAAATCTGGAAGTATCATTCAGTTAATCACACAAAATGGTATAACAGAATGCGTCCCAGTTTAATTCGAATATAAGGATCTCTTACGTCAATTTGTAAAAGTCATAATTCTAACTACTAATTCCACCGTTTAATCTACCAAGTGTTCGGAAATCCTTATTTGGTTTCTTTTGCCTCAATGGAATTACCTTGCACCAATACTAAATACATTATTATTATTGATTACGGTTTAACTTTTTCTTGGCTGAACATGATTCATCAATTCCATATTTAATTATCAATGTACAATCATCTATTCCACGAAAAAACAAAGTGAAACTGTCAAATAGATTTTAAATGTATTTCGGGACATTTCTGGAGAAAAATAATTTTATTGTATGGTGTTTCGTTTATTGCTCATGTTTACATACTTAGGCGTGTTTTGACGCCGACCAGGATTATCCAACCAATTTTGCCTTGTCCTCTCCTTTCCAGTTATTTCTAATCTTTATTCATTCTGTTGATGCCTGCCTCCAATTTCCAATCGAAGAGCTAGGTCATCTGCGATGTTCAAATCGGCTAGTTGCATCCAAGCTGTCAATTGTATTGCGTGCTTCCCCTGAGATGTAGAAGTTTTGACTAGATTATGAACACCACATCTCAGGGGAAGCACGAAATAAAATTGACATCTTGGATGCAACGAGTCGATTTGGACTTTGCATATGGCTGGGCTCTTCTGTCCCATGCACAGAAACAAGCGCAGGTAGAGACTGCCAATGTAGTAACAGCCTCTGCAGCAGGAGGCCTCTGTTAACGTAGCGTAACTAATAGTTCGCGGTAATTTACAACCAGTAATGATGACATAAAGGACTATCCTTCTAGAGAAACACACGCAGTTCAGTGGTTATTGAATATCTTGTATGCCATTTTTTCTTTAAAAGTAAAGCAATCATGCAGATCCCTGAAGAGATATTGGCGAGACTATAATTTATAGAAGGAGCAATCGGATTTTAGATCTCAGGTCTTGGATCTTGACGCAAAATCCACCCACTCTTTTGACCAAATGTCATTTTGCCATTGTAGCTGATGTCACTTTGTGATGAAAACATTTAATCTAATGTCTAACCCTAACGTCCAACTGTGAATTTTAATATATAACCCTCATTTAACCCTAGAAAGTAGGTGGGTATTTTCAAGGTTATTGTGGCGTTGCTCAAAGGTTGTCCATAAATTATGGTCTCACCTAGATGTCTTGATATATCTAATGGATTTAAAAAGGTGGTATGACCAACCAGTCGCTTGATATATCATCCAGTTGTTTCAAGTAATGGTCATGATGAATGTTATGTAAAGATTAAAGGTTTGCGGAACCAAGCTAGCAGGGATTTCCATACGAGAACAAATCATCTGCTTGTTGCTCCCTATTTTCAATGGTACTGTAGCTAAAGTTGGTGGATTACGATTAACACCCAGAAATTCAGACAACACGATCTTCAGTCCATCTGCTGTTTGTAAATGGCGAATCAAAAGCTATGACATTCCAGGTACGTCTTGCTGACGCCGTCTATGAATCCATGTTTGAGTTTTCCATATTTGTGTAGCAGGAAAAAAGGTCAAAGTGCTACTTCACCAATTGTAAATACTAGTTACTATCAGTAAATTGAGAATTAAATTTTTAAACTCTTGAAAATATCTGCGAAACAATCGTTACACACGAAAATCTATTAACACATATGCAATGTATTGATGCAATAGTTATTGAAAACTGGAATTATTTGACATTCTAGAAGCCTCTTCACTTAGCGCTTATACCATGAATTCTATTTGTATTGTGCATTTTTGATGGTAGATATTAACTTGTATAAAGCTCACATTCTATTTGAACATTGAGCTGCATTCCATTTTGAGCTAAACTTTGGCAGCAGGCTGACAGAAAACTGTACATCATCTTTGTTTATTATATGTTACTTATCAGTTCAGTTTACTTGTGATATCAAGGAGAATTATACTAGTCCAGTTTCAATAACACTATGGAAAGTATTTTTAAACATGACGGAACAGAAAGATTGAAAGATAACAGCTATATACAAAAGACATAGATACACTTCTCAAAAAATGCAAATTTGTAGGCCAAAAAAGCTATCATAACCAAGGTTATACTCGATAATTTCAAATTAAATGATAACCTGATAGAAAGCTATAGGTAAAAATAATATATCATAAACGAATGAGTAGGAAAATTATATTTGTAAATATTCTGACATATCAAGACCCAATATAAGCCAGTGAAAACAAATCTGAAGTCACGAAAACTCACAAAGTATACTGCCGAATGTATACGGTATTTGGGAGCAATCTTCAACGTAGATTAGTCCTCCACTACACTGTACATTCGGTTATGATATTTGGACTTTTATCATAATGGATTCAGTATAGTAACTGGTTTCAATGTTATCATTGACTATGAAGTTTTTGATATTTCAAATGCATAGATGACTCCCAAATGATTGACTGGCATCGGAAACAATTCTGAAATAGCTCTTTTTTCTATTACTGATACTAGTAACGAATTCTCTATGAAGTGAATATTACTATTGTTAAATACATTCGGAAATATATAAATTATAAATCCTTATCATCTTTTTTTCAACAAGAAATGCGTGAACTCTGAAATCAGGTCATAAATAATAATAAACGGAAGCAGATTTTACGATACAGGAAGAAATCAGATTTCAGTCTATACTATTCAGTAGCTAACCACTCGATCCATGTTTATGCTCTGTCTCTTTGTTTTTCAAAATAAATATAAAGTTGTTTGATATATTTGGAAATGAAAATACTATAATGTAACAGAATGTTGGGTTTGAATGGAAAATGTTATTGAGAAGTGGAGTATTTGCAATCTTATTATTGATCTATAGACTTGTAGTTCACTACTAAACAACATCAAGCGCTCACAGTGTATGTTTTTATAGTACATTTGTCAATAGATTTTAAACGTAAATTACTGCCGAATATAAGTAGTTTTTGAAATATTCGTTATTTGGAGTCATTTGTACTAATTAATATTGCTAACCTGAATTTCTAGGTTAGATATCGTGGAAATCTATTTCGCAACTCTGTGTAACGTTTCTTTTCCTCTCGATATGCGGGTGAGTAGTCTTAGTTTTCTCTTTTTCTGCCTACTTTTAAAGTTACTGTTCTTAACAAATTCTGCCTTCTGTATTCATTTTTTCATTAGATCTGTAAGGTGTCTTAAGAACAGTTTTGTCTGATTCTGTACGATCTATATTTTCTTCAGTTTGGAACGTTCTGCAGGTAGAACCATTCTAATACGAGGACAAGAATATATAAAAAAGATGACTGGCTGAAATCATATATATATATATATATATATATATATATATATATATATATATATATATATAAATAATATGTAATTAGTAATTCCCAAATATAGCATATGGCCCACAGTAGCATACCATATATAAGATCCATTTTGAAGGTTGTGTATAAAATCCCTCCACGTATACACCTGCAATTTATTCCTCTTGCTTCCTTTATATGTATATTTTGTTAGTTTTCTTATTCCATTTGAGATTGTACTATTTGTATTTTATTGTGGTTCTTGTTTTTTTATACCTTTACTAAATTTCCATGTTTTTGCTGAACTACAATTATTTTGTTCTAGTTGATACATAGTCATGTCGGTAGCCATATTGATTATAATCAATCGAAAGGGGGAGCTATAGCTCCCCCCCCCCCTTGCATGGTAGATATTTCTATTAATTTCAACTATTTTAAAGCAAATTGTTCCCACTTTTTAGTTGATAGTGACAAAAGTCCCTCGATTACTTTACTTGCTCAATTACGTGAGGCGTTTATATTTGATAGGAATCTGAGTATGACATTCTCAACCGTCCATAAGAATACGCGATTACATACCATCAATGTTTATTAACCAAGTTTCCTGTTAAGCCCGTCGCTTTCTGTGAGAGCACCAATGGTGCTGTCAACTTTGACGTTCGGTTTTCCCATGAATTATAATGCCCAGTTGGAGTATTTGCTT